GCCGAAGGGCTATAGATCCTTTGGATCCTCCCTTGCTCAATGTCTCACCACAGAAAAACTGAAACACATAGGAAGCCATGGCTTAGGCACAAAGAATGCCAAACTATTGAAGCTGCTACGGGCCAAGCTCTCAGTGGCAGAAACTGGTAGGAGTGCGAAAGGTGCACGAACTTCACAGTGAGCAAAAAAGTCCAATTTTGGGAAGCCTTCAGGTCAGAGTCTCTGCAGGGAATCCCCTAGCTATATACAGATTGCGGAGTTCCTGCAGTTGATGTTTTCGATTACTCGGAGGCCAGGAGTACTGTACAATCAAGGCTTTCCGAGATAAGTATCCTGATACTCGAATGGACCAGCTACCTGCCGATCGTGATGGACCAGGCTTTGTCTGGTTGCAGGTAGGTCACAGTTCTGTTGGCTGTGTTGAGCCGGAAACCCAGAAATTGATGATTCGTAACTTCTTCAAGCTGGATGGTCCCTCCATATAGAAAGAGAGATGTTGAAAATCTTCCATGCATTGATGCGACAGAAAAGTTTCGTCGCATACAACCAATCGATTGTCAACATACCTGCATACAAACAGTTCCGACGCTTGGTTGTCAAAAAACCTGGCTGAACTCAGGAACTGATGCCATTCTCTTTGCCAACAGGATTCTCTTTGAATCACCGGGAGGCTGCTGAGTACCGGGCTGATTTGATTGCCTACACACGTGCCTCGGTGTTGCCTGAACAACAGGCCTAGAGTGGTGAACACTCCTGCTTCAAATGAAGTCTGTACAATAGCAATCAAGTCAGAGACATGAAGAAAGCGAATATGTTTGGCGCCCTTTGCCAGGGGTTTGCCTGGCCAAGCAGACTCACAGTTGGGCTGCTTTTTAAGGGATACCGTAATATGGGAAGGGTATTCCTGGTCCGTGTAAAGCTGTACAAGCATGGACAAGGAATCCAAGATTTGCTGCCTGGGTACTGAATTGAAAAGTCCCACTAGATCGTCATTGACCTCAGCAAGATGCACTGCTGGAGGGGTGCGTCGGAGAAACTGATGCAGCCTCTTCCAAAGTTGAGGCGTGGTGGCTAGGCCCATGGCCTCAGGCCACAGCAAGCGAACCAGCAAAAGAATAGCTTGTGCAGCTGCAATCAACAGCTTCTTGATGCAGCTGTTGGAGTACGATATTATCGTCCTCCCTTTCAAAAATTCTTTCTTCCTTTTGAGAAACACGAACCCCACTGGTAGGGTGCCCGAAGCATTGACTCCTTAGCGGTACCTTCTCTTCAATGTGCCGGGAATCTGTTGGAAGACTCGAGGATTCCAGAGTTCTTTTGAACCTTCCACAGGTTCAAACACGTCCGGATCCTGCCAGGTTTTCATGGCAGCTTGAAGATAAAACTTCGGACAGAAAACCATAAGATGATTCGGTTCGTGATCATCACAATGTACAATAAAATGTCGATGCAATAAGTTACGAGCAGCAGAAACATCTTTCCACGTGAGCCGGCTTTCTTGGCTCAGGTGATCAAGATGCTTGCTCCATTGCTGCTCGAGAAACTGATGAAAGGCTTGTTCTACACCCTTGGGAAGAAAATGTTTGCGCCTCCAAGATGCAAACATCCGGGTGTTATGGGCGAAAAACTCTCGTTTGGACGGAAAGAACGCTGAGGATGCACTACCACTCCCTAGTTTTTCAAAGGAGTGGTGCAAGCTACCCAACTGCTCAATGCCCGCTACAACATGGCCCCTGGTGAGGCACTGTTCTGGCAGTTGTTTTGTGTAATAACTGCAAGGACACGGTGCATCAGCAACACAATGAGTCTGCAACCATTGATCCCAGTCTTTGAAATTGTGTAGAAAGTCTTTGAGAGACTGATGGGGTTGCTCCCTGACTTTGCACACAGGCAAATGAAAAGGTATAAGTTTCGGCTTGTGTGCCAACACAAGCTTTGGAATCCATCTAGAAGCATCTGATCCAAAGCTTGAGGATGCAGTGAATTTCAACTGCAGGCCTAAAGCAGCTGTGGGCCAGGACATATTACGGTACTGGCAAACACTCCGTAGCACTTTCCTGGCCTTGCTTTTGCCAGGCTCTTCCAAACAATTGCTCAACCGAATCAGAGAGTAAATCTCATCAGGAAGATATCGGTCGCTTCGTAGCTTTTTTGCCACTTCAAAGGGGGCACGGCTGAAGCATGTACGATTGAACAATATCTCCCATGCCGGCCAACTTTAAGTTGAAAAGGAACGGGCTGGAGTTGTCTGTGGAGCTTCTTTCTCAGTTTTCTCCACAGTCTTACCCCAAACCGAGAGGACACACTGTGTCGGACTCTCTTGTTGGGTCTAAAGCCCAATGCACTCCTCTTCGAAAAGGAGGTAATGTATGGGTGGTTCAACTTGGGTTGCCACATCCCAATTAAGCAGTGCTCAGTAACCCATGCTTCTTTGTAGGTGGAGCACGGAGCAACAAGAAACAAGGTATACTGTTCGAGACACTGATTGGACACCCAATAC